GGTGGCAGTACCCCCAGCACCACAGGCATGTTGATGAGCCTGGTCCTGGGGGATGCCCCTGGACCCCAGCTGCTGCCAGAGGAGTGGAAGAAGGACCAGTGCAGCGGGGACTACCACAACTTCATGGAGTGTTAGAAGTGGATGAATGTACGCTGTCCGGTGCCTCAGCCTTTAGAGAGGCAGCACCATAGATTTAGATAGACAGAAAGGGTGAGGACACAGGGCATCCTTTCCTTCCTGTTATCTGATACTATCCCTTTGAAGTAGAATGCTGTTCTTAGGGACGAGACTTCCTTCCTTCTGGCTTGACAGCCCCTCTCTCGCACACACAAAGAAGGAGGAGACACTCTCCATCTTTGCCACCAAGGATGCAGGACAGGCATTCTTTATCTGCGTCCATCTAGTTAATTAGATTAGATTCTATCCCTATCTCTCAATCTGTACTATCTAGAATGTAGTTCCTTGAATAAAGGATTCTTATTACTTTGAAACTGACAAGTGGCTTCATATAACTCTGTAAGTTTGCTAGCACACACAGTACTCAGAAGCTACTGCTGCATGTAGCCTAAGTGAGATTCCTGGCTGTACCATAGCAATAAATCTAACATGGAGTAAAGCTGACATGTCTATGAAGAGGCCCTTGATGTGCACCTGCTGCTCATCCATGCCCCCACAGACAGATACCAGCTGCTCAAAGTGCCCAGCACTCCAAAAATACTGCAAGGCTGTCCAAGAACTGCTGAACACAAGAGACAGCATTCTCCAACATGCATCTAGTGTCCAGCTGCCACATCTCAGTGGCTGCCCACTTGAATGAGAGGGTGGGGGACTGTGCTGTGCAGGCCAGGGGCCTGGCAGCAGGTCCAGGCCACAGCCCCAATAGGGACCACACTGGTCACAACACCTGGAGCCAGCCCAGGTGATGAAACATCACCAGCCTCCCCCATGCCCTGAGCCCCCCCCCACAACCTGTATCCGAGGGTGTGGAATCCACCCGCTGTGATTTCTAGGCCATACCTCATCACTCTGGGGAGCTCCTCAAGCCCAAGGCAACCATGGAATGGGGGGAGTGCAATTGGAAGGGGCCCTATGAAGAGGTCACCCAGTGGGAATGATGGACTTACATGGAACTGACATCCTCCTTCCTTGGTCTGCATACTGAGTCAGCATGTGGACCAGCGTTCTTGCTAGCACTAAGACTCAGTAGCTGAGCACCAACCTCTGCACTGAGTGAGTCACCTGCAGGAAGAAAGGTAGGAGTGAGTGAGCATGTAGCCTGCAGGAGCAGCTCCCCTCCCCAAACTCCTTGTGGTGCACCAGACAGGACTCAACACTGCAGCCACCCATCCCAACACATATGGAATCACTGCATGCCTGAGTGCCAGCAGAATGAGTAAATTTTAGTGAAGATGATGAAATGAACATGACCCCCATATGTATAACTGGAACTCAGATTTGGAGTTGGAGTACTGTGCCTGGGCAGAATTCCAATCAGTCTGTAAACAGGTTTCCCTGATAAAAAGAATGCCACAAGCAAGAAAGGCATCAATCTTTAGTGTGAGAACGTTCCTGGAATATGTTGGGTACTAGGCCCAATAGTGATTTTTCTACCAAAATAAATGTTATTAATTGGCAATGCAGCTAACTCTTCAATTAGTGCTTTGGTTAGCTTCAAGGCTCAGCATATCTAATACCATCAAGCACAAACGTTTTTTAAGGACAACTTCCAGGGCCCGTCGACAACAGTCGCAGGCCGTTTCATTCCTACAGTTTTCTAGGGGATTTTAACCCTAACATTTGATGAAATTTGCATTGTGGGTGATTACAATGCAGTATATGACCCAGAGATAGACAGAAAGAAACAGTGTAAAAGTAAGAGATCTGGAAATAGCCTACCTAAAACTTTCTTTGAATTAGTGGAGGAACAAAACATAATAGATTCGTGGAGAGTGAGAAATTTTAATAAGAAGGACTGTACATATTATTCGGCCAGACATAATTCATGGTCCCGGCTGGACATGGTGTGGATTTCAACAACCATGGTTAATGACATAATAGAACTGGAGATACTACTCAACGCATTCGCAGATCACAACCCAGTATTACTAACACTATGAGGATTATATAAAAAGTGATGATGGTCTACGAATAAAAATCTATTACAAGATGAACAATTTGTAAAAAAAACCAAAATAGAAATTAAAGAATTCTTCAAAATAAACACACAACCAGAAACTTCAATGGACATAGTATGGGACACGTTCAAAGCTTATATAAGAGGATGGCTTATTAATCAAGAAGCCTGGAAGAAAAAAACAAAAGAAAACTCAATGTATCAGTTTGGAAAAACAAATCAAGAAGGAAGACGATAAAATGAAGAAAGGTAATAATTCAACAGAAGCAAAGTTAAAATGAAAATTATTAGAACACCAACTAAACCTAATAAACCTAAATCACAAAAAATATAGAATATACTAAGCAGTTTTATTTTGAAAATGCAAATAAACCCTCCTGCTGGCTGGCTTACAAGTTAAGAAAAGAAAGCGAAAAGAAGATAATTAAAGAAATTTGATGAAAAGCAAAAAATGATTCTAAATGATAAAATTACAATGTGTGAGATAACAGAAGCTATAAAGAAGCAAAAGAAAAATAAAACCCCAGGTCCAGATGGAATACCTGCCAAACTATATCAAACTTTTGAAGATCAAATATCAGTACCCTTAAAAGAAGCATTACAAAATATAACAAAAATACAGAAACTTCTGGACACATGGAATCAAGCATTGATAACATTAATGCATACACCAAATTCAGATGAAAAAGAAATTAAAAAAAAATAGACCCATATTTCTATTAAATGCAGATTACAATATATTTGCAACAATCATGGCCACTAGAATGAAAAAAGTATTGGTACAAATTATTCACCAAGATCAGGCAGGATTTCTTCTGAAAAGACAAATCAAAAATAACATCCGAAATATTCTTAACATATTGGAATATTACGAACTACACTCGGAAAAGCAAATGGCGTTAGTATTTCTTGATGCAAAAAAAGCTTTTGATAATGTGAGTTGGGATTTCTCATTACAAAAACTAGAAGTATGGGATTGTGGTTCACAATTCTACTCAAACAGCAAAGCAATTTATACGGAACAATAGGCCGAGGTAATAGTTAATGGAGACATGACTCAAAACATAAAAATACAAAAAGGTACAAGACAAGGCTGCCTGTTATCGCCTTTGTTATTTATATTTACATTAGAAACGCTAAATGATCTAGTTCGCGATAACAAACAGATTAAAGGATTAAAGATAAAAGAAGATGAATATAAATCACAGGCATTCGCAGATGACCTGGTATTTATCCTAGAAGATCCAATTACCTCAATACCTCACGTGATAGAAACAATACAAACATATGGGCAAGTGGCAGGTTTAAAAATCAACTATAAAAATACCAATATTATAACCAAAAACTGTACACAGAATGAAAGGGAACAAATACAAAGAAATTCCATGATGGAAATAGTCAAAAAAGTAAAATATAAGAATGACTTACCTTTCCCCCATTTGGATTTTTGACAACACTTCATCATTTTGTAAAGCAGATTAACACATTGCTCTTGCCAACTTGATACACTTTCTCAATAAAGCTTACTGAGGTTGATCTGTTTTTCTGGTCAGGCATGTGTGAACAGTGAACATTTAAAATCCTGGTCTGTAGGCTATAGGCACAATTATATAATGAACATACACAGTCTTAGCTGTGATGAACACTGGATTGCTTGTAGCAAGTACCTTATTTCTGAAACTACTGTGCCTCATAGGGCAGAAGGAAGAAAAGATGGGATACAACTGTAACAAAGAAATAAAAAATGTTTACAAATACTGGCCAGTGTTAAAATATTGCAATATGAAGACTCATTGTTTTAGACCTATGGAGTAGGATCTTTATGATACCTAGTATTAAATTCCTGCTATGATTTTATCCTTATACTTTTCTGACAGATTAAGAAGTTTGACAGAGTGCACAGAATATTGGGTCAAGGGCTTGGAGCCATTATAGCAGTAGGATGGTACTATATTGGACCTTGACTACAGAAGCAGGTCAGATTAAGGTCTCTTAGCTTTACTGGGTTGCATATTTGTTCATCCTTGTTGTATGGCTAAGGAAAGCGAAGTGAACTGTAAATCAGTTTGAACACTAAGTAATTATAACTTAAAATCTCCTTTGCACTTTCAAAGGCTATTTGAAACAGAGGACTATTTGAAAACATGAACTCTTAAAATGTAAACAATTACATTTTCCCCAAGGGATTCATGTCATTTGCAAAACACAGATACGGGAAACCATTCCAAACAGCTCTCCTCAAGTCAATCGTCAGGCAATAAGAGGGAGCTGTCCCCCCCAAACATCCCCTATGTAACTACCATTGCACTGACATGCACTTTCACTGGCCAATCTATATGTGCAGATAGGCACGTTGCGCCTTCCACAGAACACGCAGGCGATTTGGGGGGGGGGGGGCGTCTGTCAATCACAAAATCCCAGGATGCAACTGTATCTGAGAGGAGGGCTTCTGCAATGAGGACGAGACAGCGGCTGGAACCACAGCATGAACGTGTTCCGCGGCACATGCAAGAATCCTCTTCGCTCCGCCCACCTAGCCATCCACGTCCATTTCCACCCGCAGGCCTCCTATCAGTATGCGAAGAGCACCCAGCTCTGAGAGCAACATGGATGCAGGCAATGCCGCCTGTCGATTGGTCGAAGTTTTCTCCGCCCTGTCTTCTCATTGGATGGGATGCGGAACCCACGGGCCTAGCACGTTCTTCGCGGGCTGCCTGATGTGCTCTCTCGCTAATCCGGGCCAACGTTCTACCCTAGGGAGGTGGTGGCTTCACCGGAGCCAATCGGAACCCGAGAGGGGCGGAGCTTGGTGCCGGACCTGGCGTCGAGGGGGTAGGCGAGTTGGTAAACAAGCTTTGCACCTCGTGGTGCCACGGGGCGGGCATTGCAGCCGGGACAAGGAGCGGCTTTCGGGGGTCGGCGCTGCGCGAGGCGAGGCAAGTTAAACGAGCGTTGCGGCCTGTTACGGTCGGCGGAGACCTTAATGCCTGCTGGTAATCGGAGTCGGTTGGGTTTTGCACGAGGGAACACATTGTGGCTTGCAGTCCGCGCCCAAGTGCAAGGGTGGGCGAGGCCCGCTTCAAATAAAACCATCGGGATTGCATGGTGCGTAGAAGAAGTAGCACTTCCTCGGTGCAGTTCAGGTGCTTGCAAGTAGGGAAGAGAAACGTTGGGTTCTAAGGATTGTGACCGCTTTCCGGTGCATGCGAAGGAGCGGGGGTAGTATTTCGTACGCATTCGCTCGCACTCGGCTGTTTTTCTTGCAGCAGGTATGAGCGAGGAGGTGGGCCTTGGGGAGGTCTCCGTTTGAGCAATAGAAGAAAACCCGCGAAGAACAGATTCTGTCGCTCAGGTAATGCTGGTTAATTTGGAGTCTCCTAGGCATGCGTTCACGTTCAGGCTGGAAAAGGTGGGTCTTTCCACTCTCCTGTGGCTTTTTGTGCGAGGAGGGGATTTTTCTGGACGTTAGTGAGGGTAAGTACGAGAATGTGGGATGCAGCGTTACCTATTCCGGATTAATTAGTGCGGGGCTCGACTGAGATGGATTGGCTGGCAGAGAGTTCTTGGAGCGCGAGCAGCCCAGTCGAAGCTAGAGAGCAGCAGCGGGAAGAGGAGGCGTGGTTGCCCTTCATGCGGCGCTCTGGTCGCGGCGGCATCAGCTGCCGCTGTAGCTCTCTATTCTCCATGCCCAAAATTCCTGTAAAATTCAAAGCTAGGCAGAGAGCCCCCCCCCCCCCCCCGCGGCCTGCTAATTTTTACGATGCTTTCTTTACTCGGTAAACCGGTTGAAATGGTTCTCTAATCCACCAATAGTCAAAACGAAGTAAAACCGAACAACTAGCCTTTTATGCTAACGTAACTGTTTTAAATCAGTGAATAAGGAACAAAGGGGGCTGAAAAATCTCTAGCTATCCGGGGCTTTAGGCAGCAGAAACCGCTAAATGTTTGTGGGGACAAGCTCCCTTTGAAGTCTTCTTCCAAAAATATAATGCTGGTTTTCAGAAGCGATGTATTGGATGATTCAAAATACACAAAGTAGCAAACCGTTAACCATAAACATATGGATTTCCCCCCCAACTTCAAACGGTTGCTTTCTTTGTTTTGGAAATGTTTTACACTCTGTGTTGTACATACATTCTCCCCCCAAGTCAGGCATTCTTGTGTAACGATTTTCATTCCCCAGATGGTGATATGTGGGGCTTTCTGTTTGGTCTTCAGACCTGGCCTGAGAGCACTGGGGCAATCCTCCTTCTATCTAGGCTGCTTGATTAGCCTTGCCTTACCAGCAGTGTTCCTTCTAAACTGAGTTAGTGTGAGCGAGCTTAGCTCAGGAAGGATGGCTCCAGAGCAGACTTAATCTATGCAGTAGCCAGATTGCTCGCTCATAGCTTTAATGCCAGTAGCTCAAAAAGTAGAATTTTTGCTCATAAAACCGCACAGCTTAGAGGGAGCATTGCTTACCAGTGGCTTTTTACCATTGACCTAGTGTTCCTTGTCTGTTTCTGGGATATGAGCCTGGACACTTTGCTTTGCCAAAGAGAGATGCCTGCCACAGGCAAGAGAATGAATGTCTTTTTGTCTGATGTGTGTTTGACCTAAGTAATGTCTTTTATTTTTAAAACAAGAATTGGCTAAATATATCGTTCAGACCATTGCTCTGAGGGACGCACAGAGATGTACAGAAGAGGCACAGTTTTGGGGGGGTTTTGCCCTGTGCTAGCAGGTGGCAAAGCAGCAGCACTTGAACATTGAGCCTTCTAAATAGCTATGTCAGTGTTTGGTTAGCACACATGTGATCTAGCTTGAAGGTTCTACTTGTGCCGTTTCTGTAAGAGGCCATTTTTTTTTTTTTGGCTAGGGCTGACACAAATCTGTAATAGTTTAGGTATCTTTGTGATGTTGGCCATGGTTGTACACGCCTCATGGGCACCCCCTTTGTTTACTGAAGGTTGGCATTCTTTGGTACTTCCCTTTTTGGGAGTTCTGGCCTTAACGTGATTGAGTGTTCTATCTGGCCAGCATTCAAGTTTAGCAAGATTCTCTCAAGTGTGTGTCGGAGGATTCTGCTATGATCAGCCTTTCAGAACTTCTGCAGTTGTTACTACATTCAGGCATTTTTGCTAATTTGATGCATATCAGTGGTCTGCAAGAAAGGATTTTTCCCTTCCCAACTAAGGTAAGGTTCCCTGCTTAGATGTGATCCTAACTCCACGGGCAACCAGGTGAGGGCCCCTTTATGATGGCGTTTAACTTTAGTTACGGTACTTTAAAGCAGAGGTTACTTCAACAGATGCCTGAAGTGGCTGGAGAAGCTGGCTCATGTGTTTGTTAGTCTATTGTATTATTTACCTTATTGACTTCATTTATACCCTGCCTTTCTCCCCCATGGGGTCCCCACAGCAGCTCACATCAATTCTCCTTTCCTCCGCTTTATCCTCACAACTGCCCTGTGAAGTAGGTCAGGCAGAGAGTATGTGACTTGCCCAAGGTCACCCAGCAAGCTCCCGTGGCACAAGTGGGGATTCTAACCTGGATCCTAGTTCGACACTTTAAACACTGCACCACACCCAGCTTGTGGGAATGCAAAGAACTAGCGGAGATGCTGAATGTGGTTCTAGTCCTTGATGGAGTATCAGAACATAATATTTGGCAACTGCTGTAGAGCTGGGGGGGAGCAGCTTTTTTTTTTTTTAATGAGCAGTTGTATGCACCTATTAGGGTATGCTTCTAAAAATCTGTGTACCAAAAAGTTGTAAAAAAGAATGAGATGTCAAAGTATACAGCTAAAATCTTTTCTGTTTGCCTAATATAGGCTGCGGTCACATGGAGCATTAGCCACGCTAGAGAGACGGAAGATAGGCGGATTTTCCGGGCGCGATCAAACCGCAGCATCTGGGAAGCATAGAGCTCCCGTGGCTAACCCGAGGCTTCCCGCCGAAGTTGCGGCGTAAAAAACTAGTACCTCCGAGGTACTAGTTTCCGGAAACCGTGGGGCAAGGGCGGGCGTCTGATCACGTTTCCGGTGGTAGCTCGTGGCATCCGGCGCCCGCCCATGTCCCGTCGTGAAAAGGTTTTTTTTTCCAAGTCTCCACGGGATGCGCACAAGCACCCAACGGCGCATGCGCACACTACGGTTAAACCCCCCCAACCCCCGCCGCTTCTTTGCCGCGCCGCAGGATTGACGTATTATCGGCACCTCCCCCCAAACCACCGTTGGCTGGACGTTTGATCCGGCGGCCGCACAGTGGTTTGTTCCGGGGCAAACAGCCACGCCTCCCCCCCCCCACAATATCCGGCCCGTGTGACCGGGGCCATAAAGTATCTTGGGAAGATCCTCACGGCCCTGAGCCTGCCTGGGCAGGGTAAAAATCAAATAAATAAGTTTTAGCAAGCCCCAAAACTGGGAAGCAGTTTCTCGAATTTTATCACCAATTTTGGGTAGAGTGTTTGTTCCAGGCCGAACAAACTACTATTTCTGTTGAATAGCACTGGGGAAGACATAACCGGACTTGTGGCAAAGTTTTTACTGGCTGCTGCCTCTATACATAGTAAAATTTTGTAGGCACTCAATGTAGGGTAATTTTTAAGGGAATTCTATCTTATGCAGAATCTGATTTTTTAAGTTTCTCAGCTATGTTTTTACTCTTGTGAAATGCCATTAAAGGAATTGTTTGTGTGTGGGAAGCAGTTTCCAGGACTGCATTACTCGGTGCCCTTTGTTCAAATATGTTGTATGGATGATGTGTTAAAAGGAAGAACTTGGTTGATCATGAAGGTAAACGGAGAAGGCGATGGCCTGTAAATGACTTGATGCTTCATACTGTAGGACTTTTAAGGTCAAAAATAGTATCTTGAATTGTACCTACAGATCTGTAGAAAGCCACTACAAATCCTGGGGCAGTGGTATAATGTGGTTCAGGTGCCCCAGTAGTCCCTGGCTGAGAGAAAGGCAGTTGCATTCAGAACCAGTTAAGGTTTCCGAACTATCATCAAAGGAAAGCTCAGTTACAATGGCCTTGAGGCTACAGAGTCATGAATGATGGTTTCTGAAAGAAACAACAAAGGATGCAGTTTTCTTTCAAGGTGAGGCACTGTAAAATAGTTTCCTGGCTGCTTTGGTAAGCTTGTGCCTGGAAGACTGTTGATTTAATATGCTCCCAGTGGCCCACTGCAAGCTTGAGTTGGTAGGTAAACCTGATCTGTGATGATGACTGAGATTTCTCCACTCCCCACCAAGTTACTGGACCTGCCAGGCATTGTTGTGTTTTGCATTCTGCTTCGTTTGGCTTGCCTGCATGTAGTTCCGCAATTGCCAGACACAGAGACTTGATTCATTCATATGTTAACAGGATGTGAATAAACCTTTCATATATATATAAAAAAAGCTCTGAAGACATGAGTCAGTTCAGAAGGAAAGAGTTGACTAATTGGCACAGTAGCATTTGAAGGGATAGGGATGATATTTTGGCAGTCAAACTAATAAAATATAGACAGTATTATTGTCTTCAGCTTTTTCACATGTACACTCTCAAAGCAATCCCATCTGTGAATTTAAAATCACCAAGTTGCAGGCAGTGTTCCCTCTAAGCTGAGTTAGTGTGAGCTAGCTCACAGTTTTTTAGCCTCCGGCTCACACATTTTTGTCCTCGCTCAGGAAGGAGGGCTCCAGAGCAGACTAATGTATGCAGTAGCCAAACTGCACGCTCACAACTTTAATGCCAGTAGCTCACAAAGTAGAATTTTTGCTCACAAGACTCCAGAGCTTAGAGGGAACATTGGTGGCAGGCAGGGCTCTGGTCGGGGGGGAGCTCTCAGGTACGGAGCTCCGGAAGAGAACCTCTAGGGGGCGGGGCGGTCACATGGTGAAGCCCCGCCCCCTTCTTTACCCCGCCCTCTGCTTCGATCCTCATTCCGTTTGGGAATGAGGATGAAGCAG